TTTCCTTTATAAACCGTTTTTTTTTTTAGGGGGGGGGGGGGGGTGTTACAAAAGGTATGTACCCTGGGTGTTCAATACACTAGGTCAGGGCTGGACATATCCCAGAAGACAGGCTGCCTATGCTCCTTAAAGTGACAGCTGGTGCCTAACGTTTGAGGTTTTCTCTAGTTGTCAATAGTGCTGGTTTCTTTAAAGGAGAACTATGAGGGGAGTGCTTTTCACTCACCTCATAGTTCTAGCCGACCTGTGACAATGAGACTGTCACAGGTCGGCTCAATAGATCGGGAGGTGAGCGAACACATACCGGCGTTCGCTCACCTCTCGATCCTGTCACGGCTCTCTGCCGTGACAGGGGAGGGGCTGGATTCCCCCCGCTCCGATCCGCCTGCGCTAACTGGCGGAACAGACGGGGCGGGTACAGCTGGCTCTAACTCTAGATAGGCAGAGCCAGCTGTCAGTCACGCAGCTGGGCGGATCCCGGCACAATTGTCGGGATCCGCTTCAGCTGCGGCGTCTCGGTATACTGAGCCTAGGGTGACGGGAGGACGCTAGTTTGTGTCCTCCCGTTACCCTAAGGAGAACTATGGGGAAAAGCCCTGACCCCATAGTTCTCCTTTTTAAAAAAAACTCCTGCTGGATCCCAGATTGGATGGGCTGCCTCCTGAATTCCATATTCATTTTCTACACTCCTGTATTAGGTATGCCACATTTTTTATTTAAAAATGTATATACATTTCCTGGTTTTCCTTAGACCAGGATTTTTTTTTTTTCAGGTGTTCCTGTGGGGCAAAAAGGTCAAGAATATAACTGCTGCCTCTGACTGTTAGTCTTACACAGTGAGATTTGGTGATGGTCACTACTGTATTGCTCAATGTTCTCCTTGACGGAGAGAAAGCCATATCTGAAGACCTGCAGGATCTCTCTGCTTTATTCTTTCTGTGGATTTGCGTTCTCCACCTCTCCTGGTTCTTCTTGAGTATTACCCCACTAGTCTTTACGTGGAAAAGATCAGCTGCAGCAAGCCTATGTGGGGAACCTTTTTGGTGCCATTTGCATATTTGTAACATCACTTGTGGGCCATACAAAATTATCAACTTAAAAATGTAGCCTGCTTTATTTGGTCAAACATTTCATTAACTCACCCCTATTGTGATGGCTGGAACTGCTTCTCGTTGGTCACATTGTTATCCCCCTTCATGTTCTGGTCACATTCAGCGATGAGCACCTCACCCTCCGCAGCCCCTCCTGCCACCGCACTGAGCGAGAGCAAGCACCTGCGCAATGCTCCAGACACTATCGGCATAGTCACGGTTGGCTGCTGATTTGGTCATTCAGATTGTAGCCGGAAGCCGTCCTGTCATTCAGCGATGCACCTGATGCTTCCTGGTCTGGGCTGTGTAATGTGTGGGAAGTGCCATGTGTCGGACGCTGTAGATGGGGAGGGACGGATCAGCCCTTACAGTCTGCAAGACCCCAATAGAGGAGCCGAATCTTAGGGCCAGACCGAACGATCCTGTGGGCTGGACGTTCCCCACCCCTGCTATAGGCAATACTGATGACTAGGCCTTTGCCTTCATGTCTTTTCTGGGCACAGCTTCCACAATACAGGTTCTCTTTTACTTCTTCCACTGCTTACATCTGATACAATTTACAGGTTTTCTGTCCCCTTTGCTGATTTGCATAATTCTGTCATTTTCAGCAGATATTTTTCCACTGGAAATGAGAAGGAATTGCCTAGATCAGATTTATCCATTTCTGTTGCTAAACATTCTCTATCATTTGCAAGCACACCATTCTCAGGATCTGGCTGATTGCAGGCAAGGGAATGCTCCTAGATCTGTCCAAACATTTATAAATAGGCCCCACTGTTTTAATCCATTTTCACTTCCTTAAACCCTAAGCACATGCAGAAGCTAAGAAGTTGAAGGCTAGTCGGTCATGCACAGATTGCCACAAAAATCCCAGCTTTCTTGCTTCATTTTATAGGAATAAAAGCACAGCCCATGTGATGTTAGCCCTGATCACGGGACAAGATGGATTAACTTCTCCAATTAGCCTTTGTTTCTATTTTATTGGCACCAATGGAGGAATGTGCAAGTGGTTCCACACTAGTCTACTCGCCGTAATGTGTACTAATGTTGTGGTAATATGCTTACATAGTGTTAATAGGCTGCTTAATGTTCTTGTAAAAATCCAATGAAGCTGTATTATAAATATTAGATAATAATGAATGTACTATATTGTAGTATAAAGTAGAGCTGCAGCTAACGATTATTTTCAAAATCGATTAGTTAGCCGATTATTAAGTTCGATTAATAGTTTTACAACTTTGCAGATCTCTTGGCTAATAGCTGAGAATGTTGCCTATTGTCTTGCAACAGCACAGCTGCTTAGAAACTCATTAGCACTTGAAACCCTCACCTATTGTTTTTTATTCTATTTCTTAATGGCATGCAGCTTATACAGTGGAGCTAATCTATAATTGCAGCATGCAGCCTAGCTGTACAAACCCCATGTACAGTATGTAGTCACAAAATGGTTGTCGACTTTCATGAAAATGCATTGTGAATCATTTAAATGTTATCAGGCTTTAACTGGTCAGTATGTACTTACCTTTGGAAAGACACATGTAAAGTGCAACTGAAGCCAGAAACATGCTTTATGTTTTGGATAGAGTGGGGAGGGATTAGAACCTCTCTCAGGTTTGTATTGCTCTGTGTCCTCATTGGTGACATTCACCCCCTCTTTTTGTCCTGGTGACTGCTCTCACTGACAGTAGAAGGAAATCCTACATTTTTGTCAACAGGAATAGATGGGAAATCTTCCAACGGAGACACTAGTTTTGGTGACCATGCTGTCCACCAGGGATTTCCCTCTCTTTGGAGGGATTTCCTGTTGCGGCTATCAGACAGGAAGTGAAGGGAAATCTCCCCAATGGAACACAGATGGCAAAAAAAAACACCTGGCAGGGTTTTGGCTTCAGTTCTATGTTAAATTCATCCATGTATTATCTGAAAGCGTTGAACAGGTGCATAATTTAATGAAAAACTCCGGGCACAAGTCTTATTAACCCTTGTAGTGGGGCTACCCCTGCACTGTAAGGTTAACAGCTCATTTTTGCCTAGGGTAAAAAATAAAGTTAGGCCAGTACCTGGAGCCTCTCTTCCCCCTCTGCTGCGGTGGTCTAAGGTCTCTGAGGAGTCATATCCTATACACAGTGTATAGGATATGAGGACACCCTAGGACAGTGGTTCTCAACCTATGTAACCTCGGGACCCACATTTGTCCTTGGTCATTAAGTTTGCGACCCAAGTTGCACTGCAATGGAACGCACAGCATTGTGGTATTGCACTTTCCGGTGCGGGCGACCAAACTGTGGGTGGGAGGTGCGTTTGGGGTGCCATTCAAAAGATCCACCCAGTCTCCATACCTTACGAGAACTGGAGTTGATCCTCAGCCTGGGGTCCAGTGTGCTGCTGTACTGTGACGGAGCTCCATCCATATGTGCATTGCTTGTACAGCTCCCTTTGCGTGCCCTGTAGTAGCCAGAATGTGACAACACTCTGGTCCATGAAACGTGAGGGAGCTGTAAGTATAGATGGAGCTCCCTTACGGCCATAGCCCCATCCCACCTCAAGCTGACACTCTGCACCGGCCAGCATATTTTGAATGGCTGTTTGGCGGCAGAACTGATAGTGCTGCACCAGGGGGAGGCTGTTGAGCTTTTCACCTAGAAAAGTGGAAGGCACGCGGCGGCCCACTGAACTTGGGGTCGCGACCCACCAGTTGAGAACCACGGCCCTAGGACATACCATCACTGTATCAGAAGAGGGGGCAGGCTGGAGGAAGCGTGGCAAAATAAAACGAGCAGTTATCCCTTGCAGTGCAGGGGGTAGCCCCACTGCAAGGGTTACTAAAATTTGTGCCCAGAGGTCTTTATAGTAATCCATTATCTGTCGTCTTTATGCAAGGATAGATTAATATATTGTAGTTATTTGGAAATATGAAATATACCTGTATTTTTTTGTATTTATTCCCCATTAGATTTTTGCAACATTTGAACACCAGCTGCCTGTCCCTAACAGCCCCTAGAGGATCCCGCACAGTCCTCCAACTTTTGGAGTGCTCCTTGTAAATTTGTTTCAAGGAAATGGCCGGAAGAGGAGCAGCAAGGCCGAATGGTCAGTCACAGGGCAGTAAAATCTGCCAGTTCAAGTTGGTATTGCTGGGTGAATCTGCAGTGGGCAAATCCAGTCTGGTGTTGCGTTTTGTCAAGGGGCAGTTTCATGAATTCCAGGAGAGCACAATCGGAGGTAGGTTATCTAAACGGAAGGTGGTTTCTGGAAATGTAGACTTTCACTTGTGAAAATGTTGGAAAATGTATTTGTTTGTCCTCTTAGATGGCTTCCCTAATGTATTCCAATTTATTCCGAAAAAGTCGACTAAAAGAAATGTATTTAACCTGCATGGACAAAGTATTGGTTTGCCTTTAAAGGAGAACTATGAAGTGGGTGCTTTTCACTCACCTCATAGTTCTAGCCGACCTGTGACAATGAGACTGTCACAGGTCGGCTCAGTAGATCGGGAGGTGAGCGAACACATACCGGCGTTCGCTCACCTCCCGATCCTGTCACGGCTCTCTGCCGTGACAGGGGAGGGGCTGGATTCCGATCCGCCAGCGCTGACTGGGGGAGGGGGCCGGTACAGCTGGCTCTGCCTCTAGATAGGCAGAGCCAGCTGTCAGTCACGCAGCTGGGCGGATCCCGGCACAATTGTTGGGATCCGCTTCAGCTGCGGCGTCTCAGTATACCGCGAGCTACAGCTTGCAGTATACTAAGCCTAGGGTGACGGGAGGACGCTAGTTTGTGTCCTCCCGTTACCCTAGCGAGAACTATGGGGAAAAGCCCTGACCCCATAGTTCTCCTTTTTATTATTATTTTCCTTAAGCTGGCCACACACCAGTAGAATTCCATTTGCGTTTTTTTCTGCAATGTTCTTTTAATCCTCCAGTAGTTAAAGACGAAGTGCAGGGAGAGTAAAAGTACTCTCCCCGATCCTTGGAGCTGTCGTGGGGCACTGCAGCTGTTTTACCAAATGAGCTGAGCAATTATGTAGCCACTGATAGGTCAGCTCTCTGTCTTTCCTCTCTGTGGAGAGCGGAGACTATCACCTTCCCTCATTGTTTGCCCAGTGCTCCCTGGAGGGACAGACAGGGGAAGGTGCTTGCATGGCTGGCTCTAGTGAGGCGGAGTGAGCTGTCACTTAAGCAGCTGGCATGTATCCCAAAATTATTGTCAGAATCCTTCCTGGCTGCAGCATGGTCCTGCACTGTCAACAGACAGAGGCCATTTGCCCACTGTCTGCCGAATTTGGCTCACAGGAGTACATTTGTAAATGCCCAAAAGAGCAGTAAAGCTAAAAAAAAAAAAGTTGGCTTTACTTTTTATGGCCCATTTCAGACGGGCGGTTCGATCAGGCCTGTCTTTTCGGTTTTTTTTTGTTTTTTTGGCGGACCCGACCAGATGCCCAATGTAACTTTATGGGCGGCCAGGTCTAAACGGACAGGCTTCTGTTTATATCCGATTGCCACTGGCTCTGGACAGGTCTGGGAAAACAAAAGATACAGTGTTCTGTTTCGCCAGACCTGATCGTGGCGGATCAGGGGTAATCTGATGCAAACGGACACATGTCCATTTACTTCCAATTCCCCATAGACTGACATGGGTCTATATGTAATGGGAAATAATTTCAGTTTTTTCATCTATCACATTTAAAAACATTTTTTTTTTTGCTCAACTTGTTATCTGGTCAGTATACATATAATTGTGAGATCTTGTATCTTCCCCTCTTTTCTGCATTTCTCTTTAGCTGCATTTCTCACACAGTCAGTTTGCCTGGATGACACAACAGTAAAATTTGAGATCTGGGATACAGCGGGACAAGAACGATATCACAGTCTGGCTCCTATGTACTATCGAGGTGCACAGGCTGCCATCGTGGTCTATGACATCACTAACCAGGTAATTTTCACATTTTTGAAAAAAAAAGAGTAATTACTTTTCTTGTGTTCTGCAATATGATTTCCAGAATCCTGGCGTATGAGTAAAGAAGTGGCGGAAATATAACTTTCGGTCATATAAACACCTCTAATGAGTTAATAGACAAAGATGACACCGAGCACACAATGTAAAATGATAATATATTTTACTTATAAATTCTTAAGAGTATTTTTAAATAATTTGAAATGATTTTGTAACGATTTGTGAAGCCCAATTTGTAATTTTGGATAGAATGTGGAAATGTTAGAACCCTTGTTGGGTTTTTACTGCTGTTGCTGTACCCTCTGGGGGGGGGGGAAAAACAAAACCGTTTTGGCTTTACATACATTTTATTCTGTAAAAACGAATCATTTGGTATAGCCTCCATTTCCAAAAAGACATTCATTGATTCAGGTAGGCGCGGGATTAAAAAGGTATTTGATATGTTCCTTAGCACTGGTATTCTGGGCTTGTGTCGCTTGGAAGGTCAGTTAGTCAATGTTTAAAAGCCTGGTGCTCACTTACTTCAATGCTTTTGCTTACCTAAACCAAAATATGTTCTACTGGCGTGAAATAAAGTGACCAGTCTATTGTCTTGATTGGAAATGCACTGATACTAGTACTCGTACTTGCTTAAATGCTCCCGATACCGGAATTTCCGGTATTAGGAAGCAGGGCGGCGAGTCATTACACTCCGCCTGGCTTCCTGATAGGCCAGGAAGCTGGCTTTATGCTCCCTCCCCCATCACCAGGGAGCATGGAGCTGGCTTCCTGGTCAATCAGGAATTCAGGGGACTCGCCCCTGGCTTCATGATTGGCCAGAAATCCGGCTCCATGCTTCCTCGAGGGAGTGAATAGGACGAGGGAGCATTGAGCCGGCTTCCGAGGTAATCAGGAAGCAGAGAGGCGAGTCATTACATGCCTCCCGGCTAGTCAGGAAGCTGGGTGGTGAGTCATTACACACCACCCGGCTTCCTTAATGGGCTTTCGCCATCGGCGAGTACCGAAAAAATATTGGTACTCGATACCAAAAAAACGGTATCTGTGCATCCCTAGTCTCGATTGTCTCCCACTGCTTGTCCTCTGCTGGCTACATTTTGATGTCAGCTTACTGGTGCCAGAGAATGTATTCAATCTGTTATTAATGACAGCAGCGATATGATAACTGAACCTGCATCTCTATCCAACAGAACTTTGATGGCTAGACAGTATTTTGGTATAGTCTGTGCTGATTACAACCCAGAGCCCCTTCAGCATACTACTCCCCTGGTAGGCAGTGGATGGTGTTTGGTAGAGCTGCAGCTAACGATTATTTTCAAAATCGATTAGTTAGCCGATTATTATGTTCGATTAATCGGATAAAAAATGAAAAAATACATTTAAAAAATGGCTCCAGTGATGGACTACTAGTTTGTATTGAAATTGTAGTCCATCACAGGAGCAAGCTTGGAACGGTGGAAGTAAAAAAGAAAAAGAAAAAAGTGTGGGGTGCAATATAGTGAAATGAAAAGTGTAAAATTATACAGCAATGAATGCAGAACGGCACCGGCTATAGAGGACTACAAAACCCAGCAATACTACATTATACAGCGCAATGCGGAATACCTCCAGCTATAGAGGACTACAACACCCAGCAATAGTACATTATACAGCACAATGCAGAATACCTCCAGCTATAGAGGACTACAACACCCAGCAATAGTACATTATAGCTGGCGGTATTCTGCATTGCGCTGTATAATGTACTATTGCTGGGATTTGTAGTCCTCTATACAGCGCAATGAAGAGTACCACCAGCTATAGAGGAGTACAACAAATCCCAGCAATAATACATTATACAGCGCAATGCGGAATACCACCAGCTATAGAGGAGTACAACAAATCCCAGCAAAACATTATACATACAGTGTATAATGTATTGCTGGGATTTGTAGTCCTCTATAGCTGATGGTACATTGTGCTGTATATTATACCATCAGCTATATAGGAATACAAATCCCAGCAATACATTATAGAGCATCATGTGTGGGAAAGTGCAGGCTTACCTGAGCAGTCTTCCAGCAACTTGTTCCTGAGATCGGGCCTGTCTATCGGCGGCTGTCATCCGCCCACACCTGCTCCTCCTTACTTCTTCTCCCTGCGTCTCTGTGCCGATCGTAGATTTGGGCGGGCGGTGAGCGTGAGGCGGTGTGGAGCGTGGATGCGGGCGGGCGGATCTGGCAGCGGCGAGCGTGAGGTGGGGAGGAGGTGTGGCGCTCAGCTGTGTGGAGCCGTGAATAGGGCCAACCAATCAGAAGCCGATTAATCGATGATTGAAAAAGTTGACAACTTTTTCAATCGATTATGTCGATTAGTTGTTGCAGCCCTAGTGTTTTGCCATCTCTGGCTTTGTAAATATCTTTGTTATAACCAGGAAATAACGTTTCAAAAAAAAACATTTAAACCGGGAAATATGAAATATTGCATGCTAAAATGGCATTAAAATCAGGAGATAAATCTTAAAAATACATTCCAGTACCCTAAATATTAACAAAAATTTGTCTTATTTGTGTATCACTCGGCTGTAGATCCTCGAATCATCTCAGAATTGGTGCTGACACTGTCCTTCCTTCTGGAGGGTGGCTACTTTTGTTCCCCATGATTTGAGAATCTACAGCCGAGCTATACACAAATATGATACAGTTTTGTTAATAGTTAAGGTACTTGAATGCATTTTTAAGATTTAACCCCTGAGTTTAGTGTCGCTTAACCACCTCCGGGCAGGCCGTAGTAAAAAAAACGGCCGGCCCGAGAAATATTGGATGTTAAGAGGTGTTTATTTTTATCCAGTAGATGGAGCTTTAGTCTCTCTTTTCATGTGTCTTCCAGAGACTACTTAGCAGACTGTTGTGAAAACCAATAATAGTCCAGGAAGGCTTTGTCATGTGTAAATGTTTTTTTCCATTTGTATAATGTTATTTGTTAAACATAGATTGTGTACATATAATAAATAATCTGTGTAAAAACCTAATCCGAATCATTATAGTTTACTTTCTAAAGTCTAACTCTTTAACTTTATTGTAAACTTTTGTTTTGTTAGTTTTATATAAATTGGCAAAGAATTAAAACTTCTGGGATTCTCTTCCACTTCTTGCCCCAGTGACACCCATAGCAGAAAAGTGGGGAGCAGTTATCACCAGGACAGGAACACAGTAATAAGATTGTCAAACATTCTAGCCCCTCTTCACTCTACCAACATTTGTCACCTTTTGGAGAGATTTCTCCTTACTTTTAGACCATATAGGAGTTCTCCCTAGTAGAGACCAAGATGTCAGCTTAAACCTGACAGAAACTCTAACCTTTCCCATCTCTATCTAAAATGAAACTGCAAGTTTTGTCCAGAGTTGAGCCTTCAATCAAATGGAGCTAAACAGAATCGGAACTTATCACTGACCCCCTTCTCTCTGCCCTACACCATCAGCTACGACACAAGATCAAATTATCATTATTCATTGGTCCTATTCATTGACAACAGCTTTGTTCTGGGCTGTCTTATTGGTAATGCCAGTGTACCGTAATTTGCCTTCTTTCTGGGTAGACTTGTACCTCATCTTCTGGCATGTGTGCCTGCGTTCACCCTTTGCTTTACCCTAAGATAAACAATCTGTAGAAGTAGCCCAATCACTAAATTCTCATGTGATCTTTAACATGTTACTATAACTTGACTTATTCTTTTTCTGTTAATTAAAGGAGAACTATGAGATGAGTGATTTTCACTCACCTCATAGTTCTAAGCCGACCTGTGACAATGAGACTGTCACAGGTCGGCTCAGTAGATCGGGAGGTGAGTGAACACATACCGGGTTCCCTCACCTCTCGATCCTGTCACGGCTCTCTGCCGTGACAGGGGGAGGGGCTGGATTCCCCTCTCCCCGCTCCGATCTGCCAGCGCTGACTGGCGGAACGGAGGGGGCGGGTACAGCTGGCTCTGCCTCTAGATAGGCAGAGCCAGCTGTCAGTCACGCAGCTGGGCGGATCCCGTCATCTACGACGGGATCCGCTCCGGCGTCTCGGTATACCGCGAGCTGTAGCTCGCGGTATACTGAGCTTAGGGTAACGGGAGGACGCTAGTTTGTGTCCTCCCGTTACCCTAAGGAGAACTATGGGGAAAAACACTGACCCCATAGTTCTCCTTTTAAAACGATTCATTTGCAGCTTTTAATAAATGAATACCTGGTAATTTGGTCATGAAGCTTCCGGTTATTGAGTGGCAACATTCAGTCCCGGTCTCCCAGCTTTGCTCCTCCTCACATGCGCTCCTGGTAGAGACTACAAATGGCCATGATGACACACGCTGGGCAGTTGTTTGTAGGGCTGCAACCAACTAATTGATTAATCAATAATGAGAATAGTTGTCAACTATTCTCATTATCGATTAGTTAATTGGATCCCCTAGGTCTCTCTTCCATGCTGGGAGGAGGGCACAGCAAGCAGTGGGCAGGTACAATAGCCAGCCTGCTATTGGCTATTGCCATTTGAAATGGCCAATAGCAGGCTGGCTATTGCACCAGCCAACTACCTGCTGTATTTACATTCAGCTGCCGACTGCGGAATCTTTCCACTGGCAGCTGTCATTCCCTGGCTGAAGCTGTTTATGTGCCATGTACTTACAATACAATTATTTAAAAAAATGATAGGTGATGGGGAAAAAGTAATTTTTCGATTTGTCTGACAAATTCTGCTGCTGGGGGTGCGTTGCAGTGCCATTAATTTCAATGGCATCCCAAATGCACCTCCCTCCCAGGTGTGATCGCCCGCACTGGAACGCACGGCACCGCAATGCTGAGCATTCCAGTGCACTGCAGTTGCAAGAAATTGTGCATGCAGTTTTATTCTGAAGTAAACTCTTTTTGTTTGTAACACTCCATTTGTGTATTTTATTTTAAATTAAGGATGGTATTTCATTTATTTTTATTTTTTTTAATCCAAATAATCGGCCAACTAATCTATTATGAAAATAATCATTAGTTGCAGCCCTAGTTGTTTGATACTCGGGGCTCCAGCAAACTGAATGTCGTCCATTAGAGTGTTAATCTACTTTAACACTTTGGTCAATTATGCAAACTTCAATTCAACAATCTTAAACGTGGACAGATTGTGTCTGTGAAATAACAGTTATTAGAACAGTTTTTACTTTTATTGTAATCTATGAAAGATTGAAATGATTAAAACTGAATCCAAGTTATATTTTGACTTCATCCCGCGTCAACCATTATTTTTCATAATGATTATGTAGATATTCAAAATGAGCCTGATAATGTGTTTCCATTTTACGTGTGAGTGTGTGTACAAATACATGATATCTTCAAAGCTGAGTCACATATAGCGCTTATCAAGCTTTGTGCAGCAACGGCAATCTCCAGGCAACAGGGAGGGAAAGAAGTTTGAGTACTTGCAGAAAATTTTCATTTACTGAAACTTACCAAGCTTAAAGGGAACTCAATTTGTGGAGACCTGAAACATACCAGTTAAAGTGACATTAAACTCGGGAGTTAAATCTTACAATTCAAGTACCCTAAATGTTAACAAAAATGTATCTTATTTGTGCATCACTCAGCTGTAAATCCTCAAATCATCTCTGAATTGGTGCTGACACTGTCCTTCCTTCTGGAGGGTGGCTCTATGGTCCTTGTGTGTGTTTAAAGGAGAACTATGGGGGTCAGGGTTTTTCCCCATAGTTCTCCTTACGGTAACAGGAGGACACAAACTAGCGTCCTCCCGTTACCCTAAGCTCAGTATACCGCGAGCTACAGCTCACGGTATACTGAGACGCCGCAGCAGGAGCGGATCCCGACATCGATGTCGAGATCCGCCCAGCTGCGTGAGCGACAGCTGGCTCTGCCTATCTAGAGGCAGAGCCAGCTGTACCCGCCCCCTCCCCCGTCCGTTCTGTCGGTCAGCGCTGGGAGATCGGAGCGGGGAGGGGGGATTTTTAAGATTTAACTTCTGAGCTTAGTGTCACAATAATATGGAATTGTTTCATTTAGAGGACTAATTTGCCTATGCTGCAGAGGCTTTATATGCTTTATCCTTTCAGAGTTTTAATAACCATGACTGCAAGTATCATGTAGAATTCTATAATGTGGTGTGGTTATAAATTGATAAACTTGCTTTCATTCACATTTTTCATAAATTATCCATTATTTGATGCACAGCTGCTGGGTTGTCATATTGGGCTGTGGTTTGAAGAGACTATTGCTGAAAAATCAATCAAAATCAATGACAGCCCATATGGTGCTCTCATTCTGCACGGCTTTATTTGTCAGGAAATGATCCATTATTGCCAAGAGCTGTTGAAGGCTGTCAGTATTTATTGTTTGAATAGTTATTACTTTTTTTTTCTTTTACTGTGGGTAATGTAAGGACATGGTGACAACTGACATCTGCTGTCATCATTTGAATCTCCGTGACATTTGTTTTTCCAGGACTGTAATGTTAGCTGCCTTCTTCACATTCTTGAATTCTTGTGTTATCACAGGAGACCTTTGCCAGAGCAAAGACATGGGTTAAAGAGCTACAGAGACAAGCCAGCCCAAACATCGTGATTGCGCTCTCTGGCAACAAGGCAGACCTTACTAATAAACGCATGGTTGAATATGAAGTAAGTACTCTTCTTGATGATCTCATTTTTGCTGCTTTTTGTTGGATTGGTTGGAGGTCTAGGATTGTGGATGAATTGTATATTGTTACCTTGACCCTGCAGTTTTTGAGCAGTGAGGAGAGCAAAATACATTCAAGCTTTTGTTTGTGTGTTTACTACAGGGGATGTTTATAATTTGACCTGTGCAGGCTCCTGGTACATTCAAAAAAAAAATAAACAGGCAAAGGGGCTTTTGGAATTCATCTATGCATTTATGTGCAGTGCCATGGCTGCAAAAGAATAACATTAAACAATGTGGCCATTTTTTTTCCCATTGCTGTTACCGACTGAACTGCAAATTTAAATTTTCAATAATGTTAATGTAGTAAATGGCTAGTATAGCAGTTCTATATGATGTACTACCTTTATAAATAGAAACAGTCACCTGGCCCATGCAGGCCCTTTGACACCCCTTACTTGTGCTCTCCTTATGCTCCTTTCTTTCTCACAGTCAGGGACACTACCTGGTGCTTCCAGTTATGGGGGAGTATGTGATCTTCCCTGTAGTGCTTGGGTTTAGCAGCTGATCTCTTTAAGGTTTAAGCACTATCAAATTACTGAGGAAGTCACGTCACTGCTTCCCCTAGTCACAGACATCCATTATTACTTCATTTTTTTTCACGAAAATCCATATTGGAACAGACCATAAATGAGGGTATCAGTATTAAAGGAGAACTATGGGGTTAAAGCTTTTCCCCATAGTTCTCCTTAGGGTAACGGGAGGACACAAACTAGCATCCTCCCGTCACCCTAGGCTCAGTATACCGTGAGCTGTAGCTTGCGGTATACTGAGACGCTGCAGCTGAAGCGGATCCCGACAATTGTGCCGGGATCCGCCCAGCTGCGTGACTGACAGCTGGCTCTGCCTATCTAGAGGCAGAGCCAGCTATACCCGCCCCCTCCCCAGTCCGTTCCGCCAGTCAGCGCTGGAGGAGCGGGGAGGGGGGAATCCAGCCCCTCCCCTCTTACGGCAGAGAGCCGTGACAGGATCGAGAGGTGAGCGAACGCCGGTATGTGTTCGCTCACCTCCCGATCTACTGAGCCGACCTGTGACAGTCTCATTGTCACAGGTCGGCTAGGTGAGTGAAAAGCACTCACCTCATAGTTCTCCTTTAAAACTATGCCCTATTTGCTTTGGTCTTTGTCCATCATTTAGCTCGTGTACATTCTTCCTAATAACTTTCCCTTCTATTTCTTTTTTTTTTTACTTTCTGAGATAAAGGGATGGGGAGGCAGAAGGGACAGAGGTTCTTGGATGACCCAATATACTGATCTTCATTTTCATCATTTATGCCCCTGCATTAAAGAAGCAAAAACGTTGCATGTTTTGCTGCTGTCTTGGCTTCATCAGGGGAAAAAAATGCATGCCACGCAAAAAAATGGGCTGTACACCAGTAATATACACAAAAAAAATAAATGCTGCATTTGCGATGCTATTTTATACCTTCCTTATTTCATATACTTCCCATAGATGAACAGCTATTTCTCTTTTTTTCAATGTGTGTTTTAAAGGAGAACTATGAGGTGAGTGAAAATCTCATAGTTCGAGCCGACATGTGACAATGAAACTGTCACACGTCGGCTCAATAGATCGGGAATTGAGCGAACCCATATCGTCGCTTTTCGATCATGTCCCTGCAGATAGCCGTGACTGTCAGTCACGGCTCCATTCAGGGATTCCCCCCCTCCGATCATCCAGCGCTGACTGGAGGAACGGACGGGGGAGGGGCGGGTACAGCTGGCTCTGCCTCTAGATAGGCAGAGCCAGCTGTCACTCACGCAGCTGGGTGGATCTCGACAGTAATGTCGGGATCTGTCCCAGCTGCGGCAGTCTCAGTATACCGCGAGCTGTAGCCCGCAATATACTGAGCTATGGGTCACGTGAGGATGCCTCCCATGACCCTTAAGAACTATGGGGAAAAACACTTACCCCATAGTTCTCTCAAATCTGCGGCTTTGTATGAATTGTTCCTCCCTTCTGTGGCTTATCAGCCTTTTTTCCAAGGGGGAGGCATCTTCATGGCTGTAGCCCATTGGTATCCAGTGGACAGGGGTTGATAATCGCTTCCCACATTGAAGAGGTCTTGTCCACCAACCTATGCTGCTCCTTGGCCCATTATGTGGGTTTACAATGTCCCAACTATGACGCATCCTGGCGTACGTTGCATCCAAATGACATCATGACACGTTATGTCCTGTACTCTCTGCCACATCTACCGAATGGTTCCAATGGATGTACTTTCACATGGCCTACATCTACTATTGCTGGCCTAGCAATGAAGGGGTAAATACAGGCTGGTACTCAAGTGGTTAAACTAACTAAGCTTACTTGGAAAAATTAAAAAACGTAGTAAATGTGTGAAAGGGTTTTGCTTTTGAAGTATTAATATAGGAGCTATTAATGGCAAAGTTTTAAAACCCAGAAAAAAGATAATCTATGGTGGTTTTGTTTTCTGTAAAGAAAATGATGAGGCAGTAGTATCTTTTAACAACTCATGTGAAGACAATATCAATCTAGTTGCAACAGTACTATATGGTGACCTAGTTTATACGTCTAGGCAACATGACTTACGAATGGAAGGATATTGAGCAGGGCCCTACTGGTATGTTTTAAACAGTTTTTAATGGGTTTTCATTCGACCGAATGTTTGTAGAATAACGTTTTTGGTAATTTTAGTATAAGGTTGGAAGCTAAAAATGTTTCCTTTTTTGGAGTTACAATATGTATCCCGCCCAGGGATGTTGTCTTTAATGTAGTGTGGAAGTTGACATACATATGAGTTATCTACACGCATACATATTTTATTGCCTGCCAATTAACTTAGGAATCATTGACCCTTCAAGCTCCAACCTTTCCTTTGTTTTTAACAGGAAGCCCAGGCCTATGCAGATGACAACAGCTTGTTATTTATGGAAACCTCCGCCAAGACAGCCATGAATGTCAATGACCTGTTTCTTGCAATAGGTAAAGCAGTATTTATGGTTTACTTACTGATAACGTCAGATTATGGCTATCTTATTCCATTAGAAATATCAAAGTCTGCTTAACTGCTCTGACAAGTGAAGGTTTTCTTGATAAATAAGATATTGGGTCAGGGTTGTATGACCTGTGGGTCAGGATCCCAGCTGTGGATCAAGGTTTTATTGTAATATCACCCACTATACATAAGCTTGCTGTCCACGTCTTTTTGGTGTCTTGTGCAGTTTCTGAAAGTTCTCTTCTAATGTTCACAAATAAGACTGCACCAATTAAGAAAACCATTGTTTACAATAACTAGCCCTCATGGGCAGGGCCCTCCTTACCATCTTGTCTTGATTTGTATTGTGATTGTAATGTCTTCCTTATATTGTAAAGCGCTGCGCAAACTGTTGGCGCTAAATAAATCCTGTATAATAATAATAACTATACCAAATTTGCTGGGAACAGTAGTATTGGATGTTTTTGTATATGCATTCAGAGGATCAGTAGCAAGTTCTGCTGTGAGTGCAGTTGATTGTTGTACTTGTGTACAGGCTCCTGTTTCTAACCAAAATGATCTAGCCTGTGCCCTAAGGGCTGCCACACATACCGGTAGTTTGATTTCCCGATTCAGTTAGACTGCCAGCTATTGTATTCAGGCAGCCATGACACCCGTGCCTGCGTCAGTGCACTCTCTGATAGAATAAACTTTGTTTGGACAATAATTTTCCACCTTACTCAGTCAAGTCTTAAATAGGCTTTTGTTGTGTCGGGTGGTGTTTCCAGAGCCACCCACGGCTTATATTTCGTCCCATTCAGCAGGAGTTGGCCGAAATTTGGGTTATCTATGGGGGCCATTAGTTGACAATTATAGTCTCATTAACTAATGTGTGACCAAAATCTTGTTGCTCGGGCTGCATTGCTGCATGGAGTTGACTTGTAAAAAAAAGTTTTTAAATGCCTCAAATCCCTGAGTATGCTAATAGAGTGGTTAACTATCCAAAGACATATTGCTCAGTTTGCTTACATTTTGTTAAAGGAAGCCGGTTTTAAGAAGTAGGTTGCCATTATTTAAATAAATGCATTATTTATAATAACAAGAGCCCCCCATGTGATAGCACATTGGAGGTGACAGGTTCTCTTTAAGGTGACCCCTAGTATCACTTTTCCTGTTCAATAGTGTTAGCTGGGGAATGACAGCTGCCTGCTGAGACAGCTGGATGTAAACAGCAGTGGAAGCACAAGGACAGCAGCGGGGGAATGCAAAAGCACAGCGGTCCGTACTCCCCCTTTTTTTTTTTTTTTTAAATAATGAATCCAGATTAAACAAATACAGATTGCCCAGCAAAGTATTTCTTAAATGTTTTTGCCCGAGCACTTAGTCATCATGTTACAGAACAGCTGGCTCGACTGTATTTGGCTGTATCAATGTGCTTAAAAAGATTTGGATGCCTCAACGACTTTACTTTCTGCATAGTTCCCCGTGTTGGATACCTTTTTTATAGGACCTTTTAACCCCTTCGTGACTGACGACGTACAGTGTACGTCGCCAGCATCGGGGCTGTTATTAAACAGAACAGCTGGCTCCAGCTCTCTCGGCTCTCTTTCACCAGAAATTAAATTACAGCTCATTGTTTTAGCTGCAGATCCATGGTTCTAATCACTCAATCTGAAAAAGAAAAGCGTACATTAGTGGGGTGAGGACACCTCTATAACATCGTACATGAACATTCATAGTCATTGTAAAAGATCTCAAATTACAGACATGGCGGCATTCCTTTTTGATCCTCGTATTACGTATATTCAACCTTTACAAAGGATGTTCTATGACCTGACATTGCGGTTTTTTATGTGCCCATAAGGCTAGGTTCACACCTAGGCGATTGAGCTGTTTTCACACGGTTGTCGAAACGTTTTTGTTTGCGTGATTTTGCTTTGAAAACTGCACGGTTTTCAATGCATAGAGATGTCTTTGGGACCCAAACCGCGCAACAATCGCCCGAAAATAGCTCCTGCGCCTTTTTGCGTGACAGGCGAAATCGCAAAGGTATGAACGGCTTCCATAGGGTATACAGTTGCTGTATATTAGAAACAGATAAGAAGTATAAAATGTGTATTATCAGAAATTCAGCGCTAACTACAATGCTATATTAGATAAGCAGTATTTGAGTTTTGTATAGTGCCACACTAATATAATTTGATACGAAGTATAGATAATGGATAACTGACCTGTTATTGTACAAAGTAGGGTTGGGCAATGACTTACAGTTCATTCACCTGGAGCCTAAACCTTCTCACCTTTTAAGATCCTATTAAGTGACCTGTTATTGTACAGAGACCAGGGTTTGGCAATGACTTGCAGTTCATTCATCTGGAGCCTAAACCTTCTCACCTTTAAGATCCTAGTTCCTTCTACTGTTGTGAATAATTTAATAATCACATGCAGAACTCTTCTAGGAATGTTGTGCCCTGGTAAGCAGATATAATCCTTTTTATGTATTCATTTTTTTTTTAAATACCTGGCATGTACTGTGTAGTGGAGGGAACGGTGATCTGTCTCACTGCAGAGTTCTATGTTTTGGTGGACTGAAATGACAGCCCTCATTTCCTTGGAAGTCCAACATTGCATCAGTAACTGGCAGAGTACTGGCACCTCAGCTTCAATATGTAGATACATACTGCAGGTGGCAAATCTCCGGATACCTTAAAGCTGATCTCCAGGATAAGCAAGTCATGTGCATTAGGGATGTCCCTATACCGATGCTAGCATCGGAATCGGGCCCGATACAGGGCATTTTGACAAGTACTTGTCAAAATGCCCCCAATGCCTAGCGCTGAAGCTTGCGCTGTTGTTGTGTTGTTTTTTTTTTTACCTTCCGTGGTGGCTGGGGTCCTCAGGGCAGGCTGGAGGAGTGTTGCGTCACGTCACTGCTGTGGGCGGAGCTCCAGGTGGGGTCTAATGTAGTTGGCTGGCGACTGCCCAGAGGACTCCTCCTGTAGCTCCGCCCACTGCAGTGACGCGACACTCAGCCTCTCAGCGCCGCCAACGTCGTCCTCGCATGAGGAGAAAAAATCATTCGCCGATCAGGCACAGAGCCCGCATGATCATAGGCCGGGGGAATGACAGCTCAAGTGAAGAAATCATTAGTTCTCTATACAGCCGTGTTGAGGGTGTCTTTGTCAAGCCAAAATGGCCGCCGCTGGCTGGAGACTCAGTCCAGGACAGTTTTTGTACTCTAGTGTCCAACAAATCACTTCCATTTACTTACAGTGCAGTCTGTCCTACCCAAAATGGCCATCGCCAGCAAGAGCCCCAGTACAGGAAAGTTTATTCTCTAGTGTCTGGGAAATCTCCTTAATTTACTTGGAGTACATTCTGTCCTACCCAAAATGGCCGTCACCTGCCAGAGCCTTAGTTAAGTTCAGATTGGCCTCTAGTGTATGGCAGGTAACCTAGGGGATGGTTGGAGAGGACGGCTGTGTATGAGAGGTAGATAATGGAGGAGCTGGATAGATATATTAGAGGAATCAGAAATGATTTAATGAGGGGGGGGAGACATTTCAGTGTCTGGGGAGAGAGGGATCTGATGAGCCCTCTGAGAAGGAGATATTATACGGGATGGAGGAGAGAACAGAGTGAGGTCTAGCTGCGGATAAGGCAGGCTCCATTGAACAGGCACCAGTAAGTAAGGGCCTGTGCTGCTGAGATGGCAAGTGGTGTAGTATTTGCCACTTTGCCAGTATTGTATTTATAATCCGATTGCAAGTGTACATTTACTTCTTCATATAGAGTATTAGGTTAAATCATGATCTACAGTATACTACATACATAACGGATCATGATTTAACCTAATCATGTTAGCAGGGGAATAGGGGATAATTGAAAAAACTCTATTGCTGTAGTGTACTCTATATGTAGTACATGTACAGTACTAGCAGATTATAATTGTAAATGTATTGTCTGCACTGTATTAGCAGTATATACTCTATATGTACTACATATAGAGTACATATAGAGTACACACTGCTAATACAGTGCAAACAATACATTTACAATTATAATCTGCTAGCATGAATGGATTAAATGATCTGTATGTAGCCCTGTACTGGGGGTCATTTAATCCATTCATGTTAGCAGATGATCATTGTAAATCTATTGTTGCAGTGCACTCTGTATGTACATGTACTATATACTACATATAGAATGCACTGCAACAATAGATTTACAATGATCATCTGCTAACATGAATGGATTAAATGATCTGTATGTAGCCCTGTACTATGGATCATTTACCTGTCCCTTTAAGAAAAAGTATCTGTAATTGGTATCGGCAAGTACATGAGGGGAAGAACTTGTACTTGGGCCTGAAAAAGTGGCATCGGGACATCCCTAATGTGTATTCTTTGTGAGCTTTGTGTATTTCTTTCAGATCCTTACAGTAATCCAGTGTGAAACCTTTGGCTCTGTGTAGGAGCTTCTTGTGATGACCAATCACTGCTGCCCTTTTTTAAGCCTTATTAAAAAAGAGGAAAAATATCGGTACTCTGTCTTGAAAAATGGTATTGGTGCATCCCTATGTTTAACTCTTTTGCTGCCGCCACCGTATGCCACAGCAGAAGCAGGGCCCTGTGAGCAGTTAGCAGCTGGGCATTTGCTTACAAGTGTAAAGTCGGCTGTACCCCAAAAGTGATCCTCTCTGCTTTCAGAAAATATATAATTCTGGGGGGTTTTAAGTAATCTTAAAATCATAAAATGTGCAATTTAACGTGTACAAAAAAAATGCAAAACCAATTCTGGCAGCTAAAGAGTTAAGCCACAGAAGGTGCACTGCTATTTTCTAGGAGGAATTCCAAACAAAATGTACATTTTTCAGGGTACTGATTAGGCACCATTTCTAGATGTTTCTTATGAGATAAGCATAGTTTAGGTCCACCTTCAAACCAGGTTTGGGGATTATTAATGTTAATTGTAATTTCTGTTGAGTTGAATAAAACGGCAAATGTTTTTGACAACAGCAAAATAAATATTTCCTGATACTATCAAAAATTCAGATCGAAATCCAAGAAGATGATTCCAGTGTACTGTTGTTTTCAGTAGTTGGTTGGGGGTCTGAGTTTGGCATGGGATTTGACACATTGACGGCACAGAACGGTGTAGACCAGTGGTCTCAAAGTACCGGCCACATTTTATATGTATGGGGGGATTAAGAGTGTATTATTTTATATGTGGGGTGGGGGTGTATTTTCTTTGTGTATGGGGAGGAGTGTATTTTATGTGTGTGTGGGAGGGGGATGGAGTGGAACTGGTTTATGTGTTTTGGGGGGGAAATGTAATTGAGTTTGAGACTCCCGGTGTAGACAGTCTATAATCTAATCTAAGTAAATGCTGTGGAGAGCACCAAACCTTATTAGTCCCAGTGTAACAGAACTTGGCTTATGTACCCTCCTTATTGGTCCCATAAAGTTCCTGTACTTTCTTATTTGGCTTTATTTTATGCTTGGCGAGCAAGAAGAGCATAGAAAGCTTGTTACAGCTAAGATATTAGAATATGGTGATGCATGTCTGTTTTAATCTGATTTCTTGTGTTTCATTCAACAGCTAAGAAGCTGCCAAAAAATGAGCCTCAGAACACGAGCGGGGCTGCAGGCCGCAGCCGGGGCGTGGATCTACATGAGCAGACACAGCAGAACAAGAGCCAGTGCTGCAGCAATTAACAGAGGAGATGAAAGCAATGGGGAATCAAGATAAGATTATAACCTCTCTTCCTGCACCTGCCCTGCTACCCTCCAGAACTACAACTAAACACCTTTCCAGCACCTCACTCTTCTGCCAGGACTTTCCCTTTTGCACTTCCTTCCTTTCCCTTCACCAACGGATAACAGCACACACATGGAAACAAAGCGGCCGGCTTAAAACTGTCCCTTCCACCTCCCACACCTCTGCAGCCCTCAGAAACCTTCCCGCTAACTGCACTATTGTGGGTTTTAATTTTTTTTTTTGGTTCTTTTTAACGCTTCCGACAAACACACACAGACTACTCTTGGTGACAGCAAATGAAAGCATCTGGGGACCTTGCCTTCAGAACAGAGTAAACAAGAAAAGAAGCAAAAAAATGAGAAAAACAAAAAACTGTTACTACTTTGTATAATAGATGCATATAGTGACTTTAATATTGATTTTGTTTTGACTTCATGTACGTTTCTCTGCTTCCATCTACTTTCTTAAGTTTCTCTGTTTTTCAGCTTATCACATCACTCAGTAGAACTTCCAGGAGCCTCATACTTCCTACCACTTGTAAACATTTGATTTCTTGCTTGCCTTGTCTGTCAAATGCGTAATATGTGTGCCTAAACTTTTGACAGCTGTATCTGGTAAACGATCCGTTCATGAGGAGCTTTTAATTGCTTTAGCCAGAAAAGATGAACAGTTGCAGAATTTCAGGTGCTGAGTTGATGTAGAAGGGAGCTTTTGTCAGAGATCCCTGACTATTGTCGGCACTGGAATGGTGAGTACATCATCTGCGAGGTGACGTTTATGTTCTGTATCTTTTTATTTCTATCACATTTTATAGGCATCAATTAAACCTTTTATTGAAGTAATATCATAAATTCACTTTCTTTCATGAATGGAATTTATGAGAACCTGAAGAGTGGAATAATTCTGTGTGTTGCAATACTCCAATATGCTTTTAGCAGTATAAGAGCTCAGATTGGATTCTATTCAATGTTAGTGTTTCTAGAAAGATATGAGAGCTCACATGTCAGTTATAAAGTCATCTGTGTACAATACATGCTCACTACAGTGTGTATGAATGTGTGCGATTCCAGCAAACTGGACGTTGAGACTCCAAGTGGGTTTGCTAATTCTGTTTTCATGTAGCCCATTTTGTTATATCTGGAAAAACACCGGCAACCTCTTTGGGGTCCAAGAAACAATGGAAAACACATTCTCTGAGTCCAGGGAAAATTGTCAAATGATGCATAAGAAAGGTTGAGCACCATAGTTGACAATGTTAGGTCAATATGGGGACACAACTGTAACTAGCTGCCTGCAATACCTGATGCAGCAAAGGCACTGTTAAAGAGGGCTAAACTCCCCTTTTGTATTTAGCGATCATCTCTACAAGTAATGTAAACATGGCATAGACGTTAATGTTCTCCTTATTTTTTTTTAACTGATTTATAGTTACCGATTTTCTTTTTCTACTTATTGTTTTTAACATTTTCTTGCAAACCTGTGTGTTAAGTATTGCTTACAGCAATAGCTGCCTTGGGCAGCATGCACTTTATTTCAGAAGTCATTGAAAGATAGTTGGAATGTTCATATTTACATATTGTCTGCTTTGTTTTACTTTAAAAGGGGTTTTCAAAGCCTTCTATCCTATCTGTTGCAAATGAGCAACTGCACATCATTTACTAGTGTTAATCAGCATTCCTGGTTTGGGATAGTCTTTCCTTATCCCATCACAGCATACATACAAGGCTGGGTTCACACCTAGGCGTATCGAATATGCGCATAGGACGCGCGTTTTTACCGCAATTCGTTTCCATCCGAATGGAAACGCGCGATAAAAACGCCCCAAAGAGGCTCCTGTACTTCTTTGGGCGTAGGACGTTTTGTAGCGCGTTCATACGGCCTGTAATACGCCCAGGTGTGAACCGTACCCATAGGAAATAATGGGATTTCGGTGTTTGAGCGTTTTGCAGAGCGTACGAACGCGGTACTAAATGCCCAGGTGTGAACCGGGCCTAAGTGAGAAACATTGGGCCACAGTCTACCAGGTCCAAAGCAGGAGGTTCTCTTTAGTCTTACACCAGGTGACATGGCAGGTATGTGCCTTTCTGTATGTTAAAGTGTTCTTACTGAAGTCTGTGGCTTTATGGATTGCCATGAAATGTGCCTTCCTTCCATAGCTAGGCCGGGATGTTTGTGTGGTACGGTTTTAAATACAACTTGTATAATATAAGCAGGACAAGACAGAGCAAAATCTATCTGGTTAGCTAGTTTTAGGGCTTGCTCCCACCGAATCCGAACCAGATCTGGATGAGTTTCTGTATATGCAGTGCAGTGCGTTTTGACGTGTTTTTTGATACATTCTGGTCTGTTTTGGGTTCAGGTGTAGTCTAGTGCGTTTCAGAGCGTTTGCATGTGTTCTGGTGCGTTCCGGAGCAGAAAAAATAGTGCCTGCTGCAGTTTTTCCACATGCACTGGAACTGAATGCTGTGGTGTGAACTAGAGCCCAAAATACCATTGGAATACATTTGATGCATTTTTGAAGCGTTCTTAAAGGAGAACTATGAGGTGAGTGAAAATCACTCATCCTCACAGTTCGAGCAGACGTGTGACAATGAAACGGTCACACGTCGGCTCAATAGATCGGGAAGTGAGCGAACACATACCGTCGCTCACTTCTCGATCCTGTCCCTGCAGAGAGCCCGGCTCTCTGCAGAGATTTCCCCACTCCGATCCTCCATCTCTGACTGGCGGAACGGATGGGGGAGGTGCGGGTACAGCTGGCTCTGCCTCTAGATTGGCAGAGCCAGCTGTCAATCACGCAGCTGGGTGGATCTCGACAGTAACGTCGGGATCCGTCCTTCCTGCAGCGTTCTCAATATAACTCAAGCTGTAGCTCGCGATATACTGAGCTTTGAGTGACGGGAGGACGCTAGTTTATGTCCTTCCGTGACCCTTAGGAGAACTATGGGGAAAAACACTGACCCCATAGTTCTCCTTTTAAACTGCGCTGCATCTGCTCTGCACTTGGTGTGAACAAGCCCTTAGGCTGTGCCCAGGAGCACTTACTGCTGAGATGTAATGGTCCCCTAAATAGCAAAGCTTTGGGTGAATTTTAGAGGTGTTCCAGCTAGACTGGACTGAATAGTCATTTATATACGTGTAAGAGCTGTGTGGCTCCTAGCTGCCATTTTAAATTTGCATTTAATTCTTCCATTGCAGGGTAGAAAACCAAAATAAATATTTAAGAGGAATGTGCAACAGAGGCAGTTATTTGTTCAAACACTTTTGATAAACACTTCATGTATTTTAGTAGTCTACAATCACTGAAATGCAACTTAAAACCACTTTATTACAAGCCTGCTTATACCTCCTTTTTTCTGTTTTCTTCCCCTGACAAAGAAAACTGTTCTTACTCATTTGATCATATCTGTGGTAACTTTCTGCTCCTAAATATTACTGCAATGTTAAAGATGATGGATGTCTAGGTTCACACTAAAGTACGGATGAGGGTCAATTACCAGGATTGTTGTCGTTTGGTTCCCTTGAACTTCGGGTGGATTTTATGCGGTATACTTTGCATTTGGCAACATATGTTTGACACTTATCATGTGTAATCATATTATAAATTGAAGTAGTTTGTCAAGGCTGTCCACTGACCCTTTTAATTACTGACCCAGCTTTGGGCTGGGTGAGGCCTTTCCTGTGTTTCGGTTAGCTAGTAAATTCCGAAGGAACATCCGTTGGCTAAAACCGGTTGACCCACATTCAAACTTGGGTTGATTTGCATCAGAAGGTGAGGCAGGTTTCTAAAATGCCTGATCTGTGTTCTCTCTGACACAGACCAGGCGGGGTCGGAGTGCTCCCTATAGATGTCAAATCGGGTGACTGTTATCTCATGCCTCAAATGTACATTTATACCATAAAATAAGGTCACAAAACTGCATCAACATCAACACAAGCGTCTATTGTGATCAAGCTGTGTAGAAGTTAACACCTAAATGCCAACAAGGGCTTCTAAGAAGTCACATCCAGAGAGTTTTTAATGTTGTAAAATCTGTGAACAGTTGATTATCTCCTTCCCTACAGAGAAAGGGGAATAAAGCTCTCATGGCACATGGACCCCATCTGACCCAAGGTGTGGAGAAAACTGCCATTGATCTTAAGTGCATGCATTTTGTGTGAGGACTAGTAGATCACTCCCTGCCTCATGTTCTTTGGTGAGAGACCTGTTCTCACTGTTGCAGCGGTGTCCAGTCAATCATGTAATAAGTGAATGTCTGTTGAGCAGGTTTTCTTGTTTTATCACAGTGGTACTGGTTGATTTTGAATCAGCAGGCACCATCTAAATGACAGGGGTAGGCAGCCTTGGCACTCCAACTGTAGTGAAAATATAAGTCCCATGAGGCATTGCAAGACTCTTGACAGCCACATAGAAAATGGAAAGTCCCTCTGCACTCCTTGCAGCGTTCCCGGCCCAAATTGTAATGATGGTGCTCGCAGTGATAATCACGGATGGCACCGTGCACATCAACAGTAGAAAGCAGAAATCACCAGCACTCAATAAATAATTTTTAAATAGTAAATGTCCATTTAATCAGATATAACGTCACAAACAAAAGAACCAACGTTATCACCCTGATGAAGGGACCCTGTGCGGCCCCGAAACGCTGGTTCTTTTGTTTGTGACGTTATGTCCGATTTAAATGGTTGTTTACTATTTGAAAATTCTTTGAGTGCTGGTGATTCCTGCTTTCTACTCTTGACAGCCACAGACATGACTTCCAGAGGCAGGGCATGATGGCATTTGTAGTTTAACCACAGCTGGAGTGCAGAAGTTGCCTATCTCTGATGTAAGCACTCCAGTGTTTCTGTATACTGCACTGTTGAGATGGGTGGTTCCAACGAGAAAAATAAATTGCTGTATAGGAATGTAGTGAAGCGAAACACTGTTTTGCTATGCCATGCAGTTTTGGCTGCGAAGAATGGTTGGCGAACATTGGTAAATGAGCATTTGCAATGTTTTAAAGAAAAAAAAAACCTAATTGTTGACTTTAAACAGAACTGTATTTTTTACTGTGATGTGTAAAATTGTATTTCTAGCCATGGTTTTTAAGTACCTGGCGTTACAGCTGGGTCCATCCAGCAACCCAGCGTCCGCATAGTCTTCGTTGGAGTAGCAATTCACTACTGTAGTAATGGTGTTGGTGCTCTGGGACACCAGAAGTAATGTGTTTTTACTTTCCTAGATGAAAAAAAAAGAAACATGCTGTATTGCCACATAAAACCACCACTGTCTACAGAAAGGCCATAGCGCAACCGACTGCCTTCACCCTTCTTTTCTGGTTACATTGAAATAGAACCTGGCAAGCTGGTACATTGCAACTCTCACAGTTCAAATGCCCTCTG